ACATACACAGACACACAGTGAGACACACACACACCCACACACACAGTGAGTCACACACCCACACCCACACCCACACACACACAGTGAGTTACACACACAGTGAGAGTCTCACATACACACACACAGTGAGACACCCACACACACACCCACACACACAGTGAGTCACACACACAGTGAGAGTCTCACATACACACACACAGTGAGACACCCACACACACAGTGAGTTACACACACAGTGAGTCTCACATACACACACAGTGAGACACACACACCCACACCCACACACACACAGTGAGTTACACACACACAGTGAGAGTCTCACATACACACACACAGTGAGACACCCACACACACACAGTGAGTTACACACACACAGTGAGTCTCACATACACACACAGTGAGACACACACACACCCACACACACAGTGAGTCACACACCCACAGTGAGAGTCACACACTCACACACACGCACACACACAAGTCTGATAATAATCCCTCAAGAAAAAAATAATGAATTGGTCACTTCAATCCATGACTGCTTGTGGGACACTTTGCTGTACACAATTGGTTTCACCCACAAATACACGGCCAATTCACTCTACAGTGTATTATGTGAAGCACTTTGAGACGTCTAGAAGACGTGATAAGGCGCTGCATCAAATACAAGGATGATTATATTATTATTATTACAAGCGACTCATTGAGAGTGGGGAACAGGTAAACTCGGGAATCAATTCTCTCACCAGGCAGCACCACACAAACACACGCGCGCGCACATAAACGCACGCGCATACATGCACACATGCATACACATGCATACACACACATACACGCGCACACACAAGCACAATTGCACACAGCAATATCCCACAAACAGCCATGAATTTTATTTGGGGGATTGTTGGCCAGGACACCGGAGAGAGAGAGAAACTCCCTTCTGTTCACGAATAGCACTGCGGGATCTTTAACGTCCACCCGATCAGGCAGACGGGGAACCAGGTTTGATGTCTCATCCGAAGGACAGCCACTCATCCAATGCAACCCTCCCCCCAGCACCATACTGGGGTGTCAGCTTAGACGGTGTGATTCTAAATCCCGATCTGGGGGGCTTGAACCCATGACCTTCTGCCTCAGAGGGGGAGAGTGCTACCCCCTAACCACTGTCCTCTACAGCGCTCCTCTTCAAACACATCGTATTGCCTTTCAAATGCGGAGTCTGTCTGTCAGGCAGTCACCCGAACAGAAGGTTCGATGGTCAATATGTTAAAAGTACAGGGACTTGGTTGTTTCTTAAGCAAATCTATAATAATAACAATAATAATTATCCTCTCATTTGATATAGCTTCTTATCACGCTGTTGAGGTGATTCAAAGCGCTTGACAGAATATACTGTATATTTTGTGGGTGAAACACGGCAGCCAATTAGCGTCCCACAAACAGTCATGGATTGAGTGACCAAATTATTATTATTTTTGTTTTAAGGGACTATAACCCCCTGAAAAGCGATCTGCAAATCGCCTAATAAGTGGGTTCCTGCGCACTGATAGGTTTTAAGCACCCTGGGGCAATACCCCGCATGAAAGGTGCAATACAAATGCAAGTTGTTGTTGTTGTAGGTAAACAGAGGCTTGTGTGTGGAGTAAGGAAACTTGGCCAACGTTTCGATCTGCCCGGGAATTGAACCCGGGTTCTCTCACTTGCGAAGCGAGCGCTCTATCCACTGAGCTGCAGAACTTTAAATCCTGTCTGCAATCAAAAAGTTATCCCTGTGCATCGCTCCCCACCTCCGCCTCTCCTTCTCCCGCCCGCTCCGATCTTTACACTGCTGGTGACTCACGGATGACGTATAGACAAGCTATGTTTGTAAACCTCCAGTCCATGTGTGTACAGCCAGTGTGACGTGCCAAGTCTGCTTGCCAAGCCGTCAGCATGCCATTTCCCTAACCTTTCCACAGGGCCTCCTCAACATGTGAGCGGAACAGCTATATATAAACAGGCTTCTGTGACGTTTACAGTCACCTTCCCCAACACCCAGCTCCTTCCCACTTGCAATAGAGAAAGTGATCTTTGCCCTGAACAATTTGTCACAAGGCATCTGTCACGCCAGGAGAATTAATAATAATAATAATAACTCACGACTGTTTATGGGTCACTGCTGGGCACAATTGGTTGCCGCGTTTCGCCCACATAATATACAAAATATACTGTAAAGTGAATGGACTGTATATTTTGTGGCCGAAACTCCCTTTGGGGGAGAATTGTCAGCAGGACAATGCCTGGGAGAACCTCCCTTCTCTCTTTTCAGTAGCACAGCGGAGATCTTAAAGGTCTGCCTGAACAGGGCAGAGTGGGGAGCTCGGTTTAACATTTCATCCAAAGGACGCTGCCTCCGACAATGTGGTGCTCCCCCCACCCAGGACTGTAATGGAAATCCAGCCTAAACTGCGTGAACTCACAGGGGGCTCGAACCCAAAAGTTTCCAACTCAAAGCGAGAGCCTGGCTGATTTGAAGGATCGTTGGAAAAAAACACAGGACGGACGTTAATCCTGCCTTTTACCAATAAGGAGAATGGGATTATTTTCTTTGTTCGATTCAGTAAAAAAGAAAAGCAAAATTGTTTGCCCGGTCGCAAAGATTACGGTGACATTAACAACTGACCGAGACTGTTTCTTGCCTGTCTGCCTGCCTGCCGGCACCTTACAGCCTTGTGAACGCCTTGTCTAATTTACACTATTTCCTAAACGGATTCTTTAATATCCAGTTACAATTCCTGTCTGTCTGTTGGTCGGTCGGTCGGTCGGTCAGGCCACAGGAATATTCATGGGAAGGGAATGTACTGGGAGTTGGCTGGATTGTGTGGGAATGCCGGAAGGAGTCCCTCTCTCCATTGGCACAGTCTGAGGATGTCTCGCTATGGAACCCGGCCAAGAAATAGCACAAACCAGCACCCGTGGCCTCAAAACCATTTACCTCTGCACTGGAGACAACTCGCAGAGAGGGAGAGAAAGGAGTGAGCAGTCAGAGCCGGCAGTGTTTCAGGTCAGCGACCAAGACAGGCGGTTGCTTTTCACCCCCCCCTCCCCACCCCATCCTATCCCCCCGAACCGCCCACGCTTATTCCTGCGATGTCACCTGTCAGTCCGAATGTAGGCCGGGGTAGGAGTCAAGGCAGCTCGGAGTGAGAGAGAGCGAGTGATCGGAACGCAGGGAGTTTGTCAGTGAGTGACGCCCACAAATGAACAGGCAAAAGAGGTGACTAACGGTTGGCTCAGTGAATCAAACTAAATGTGGAGCACGGTGGTGGGTGGTGGGTGGTGGGTGGGGGGTGTGGGGTAGGGGGTGGGGCTGGGCGAAGCTCGTGACATCGCCCAGGCACCGCCAACCCGACAGTGACTTAAACTCCGAAAGAATTAAGGAGAGCTGTGGTCGCGGAGATGGATTCAACTCTGTAACAAGCTGCGTTCTGGAAGTGCCTTATCTGAGCAAAAAAAAACAAACGTGGGAGTCGATGGCCTTCACTTCCCCCATTCCCCTCCCCTCCCCTCGCTCCTCTCCCACTTCCCCTCCCCTCCCTCCACAAATATATCATGTGGAGGAGCTCCAAGCTTCACACTCTGACAGCACCCTGGCCTTTTAACCCCATTAAGAGTCATGTTGAGACTGGCAATGGGGGAGAAAATGCCAGGAATTCTGTCGCGAGAACTCCTGAGCGATCAATCCCTCACTCGCTCGCTTGTTATTATAATAATCATAATCATAATAATCCTTGGGTTTGATACAACAACTTGCCCCCTCACTCACACAGGGTAGCGTCCCAGAACGCTTGACAGTGGCAGAGCACAAGCTACGGGGAGTGGGCACGGTCGAAGAGAAGGTCTTCAGGGGCGACCTGAAGTTGTGGGAGGAGGGGGCAAGGACACACACACACACACTCACACACACACACACACACACAAAGGATGTTTTGAGACCTTGGCCCAGAGTATGGCTCTGGCATCGCGTCACTCGCTTGTCTCTCACCACGTGCAGAAAGATGCTTTGAAACTTTATCCTTTGCCCCGTGTCTCCCAATCCTATAGTGATCCCACCAGTGCCCACAGACCAGAGAACATCAGCCAGACCGGCTGCTCCTCAACCCTCCTCCTCCCCCCTTCCTCAACCCCACACCAACCCCAACCTGTGACATCCAGCAAGCCAAGAGTTAACCCACCAAAGAATCACCACTAGACACTCACTCACTCACTCACTGGCTCGCTCGCTCACTCACTCACTCACTCACTCACTCACTCGCTCGCTCACTCACTCACTCACTCACTCACTCACTCGCTCACTCACTCACTGGCTCGCTCACTTACTCACTCGCTCACTCACTCACTGGCTCGCTCACTCACTCACTCGCTCACTCACTCACTGGCTCGCTCACTCACTCACTGACTCGCTCACTCACTCGCTCACTCACTGGCTCGCTCACTCACTCACTCATTCGCTCACTCACTGGCTCACTCACTCACTCGCTCACTCACTGGCTCGCTCACTCACTCACTCGCTCACTCACTGGTTCACTCACTCACTCGCTCACTCATCGAGCGGAGATGCCAGAGTGCTGGGTTTCCGTCAGGTGGCCACACGTCTGACACACTGCCTGGCGGTTGTTAACATACCCTCATGCGTGTGTGGGTGTGTGTATATGTGTGCGCGGGAGGGGGGGGTCAGACTGTCCACCACACGCTGACCACAAACACAACCATGGCTCACTTGCCTCTGCGCTCGCCCCTTTGTTGATGCACAATATCCTCACCGGCATATCATCACTTAATGACTAGATCTTGCTGCCAGTCTGGGAAACATGCCCTCTCTCACGCCTTCCCCGACGACAGAGGAGGAGACATTTCTTGTGAAATCTAAAGCTGTCTTTCCCCCTCCTGCCTTTGACACACTTTCTGTCACTGATCACACATGCACCCTCCACCCCCCCAATTCCCAAACAAGGCACAGGTACCTTTCCAACCGAAGTCTCCGTCGTTCCCTGAGCGTTTGCGCTGTTCGATATTCCCACCTGCAGGGAAGAAAAACGAACAGACACAAATACACACACACAAAAAAAATCAATTAAGGATTGCAACAGAGACACACATATCCACCCCAAAGGAGATGGCAGACAGACTAACCCCCCCACCCCCAGCACGTTCCCACCCCCACCATAAAACATACGATGAAATTAATATCTTATCACGGTCACCGAGATAGAAAATTATATATTTTTTAACACACAAAAAAGGTTAATTGTTTTTTTTCATATAACCTGTCTAAAAAATATAAAACGTTGCATACGTTGTATGCTCATTCATGTGAATTTCTATTCCCTCCCCCCCAAAAATAATTATTATAAGTAAAAAATATATATTATATATATATATATAGAGAGAGAGATATTTTTAAACCCCTCCAAAAAATATTGTCAAGCTGAAACTAGGAGGTCAAACCCTTTGTTTCCCCAACAATAAAAAAAAAGGCTTCTCCACAAAAAACACAATTCGTTTTACTAAAAAAAGGCTCTTCAGAAATGTACCTACACAACACCCTCTGTCTTGCAGTCTCTGTAACAGCTCTCTCCATCAGGGGAAGACCCTACGAGGCAGCCATCTTACTGATTTCTCCTTGAGCAATGTTACACACTCACTGGTACATTTGGTGTGGGTTTTTTTGAAGCCAGACTCCTACATCATTATCATATTGCTGATCTCTCTCTTTCTCTCTCGCACACACGCTCACGCTCTCTCTCTCTCTCTTTCTCTCTGTTGCTCCCCCTCTCTCTCGCGCTCTCTTTCTGTCTCTCGCTCTCTCTCTCTCTTTCCCGGTTGCTCCCTCTCGCTCACTCGGTCTCTCCCCTTCTCTCTCTCTCTCTCTCTCTCTCTCCCCCTCTCCCTCTCTCTCTCCACCCCCGTCTCACTCACTTGTTCTCTCTCTCACGCTCTCCCTCACGCTCTCTCTCTCTCTCTCTCTCTCTCGCTCACTCTCTCTCTCTCTCTCCCCCCCTCTCGCTCACTCTCGCTCGCTCAACCCTTCCCCCCTCCCTCCCTCCCTCTCTCTCTCTCTCTCTCTCTCCCTTTCCAGTAGCAAAGCTTCAGAAACGTGATGTGAATGCCCACTGCCTCGTCAGACTCTATCTGCGGCAGCCAATCGGGGAGATCGGTTGTCAGGGAGGCAATGTGTGTGTGTGTGCGTGTGGGGGGGGGGGCGCGGGAGGAGAGATGGGGGGAGGGGGTGGCGGCGGGTGGGGGAGGGGGATAGGGCTTTGGTTATGTCAGCAACTCGTCAATTATCTTCCTCATTCAGACTCCTAAACAATTCCACCCCCTCGTGTTGCAAAGCCTTCAGCCCTAATAGTAGCGCTAAACTGTGGACTGGAGCCTGTCTCGGGATTGCAAACCCGCTCCCAACCAGGAGCCACTCCGCCTGATATCCGTCGCGCTGCAAAGAAATAACTTTCATTTTGATTTAAACTGAAATTTATTTTGAATACATTTATTTATTTTAAGCAACTCGTCTGGCTGCTTTTTTTTTTTGCCCGCGTTTAATTCCGCTTCACAGTGGATCCTGTGAAGCGCTTTGAGACGTCTCAAGGATGTGATAAGGCGCTGTGTCAAATGCCAGGATTATTATTATTATTTATACAGGGGCCGAGCGAAGACGGGAATGGTGGCGGGGGGAAAGGAGGCGAGGAGGAAAGTTGCGAAGGTGAAAAGGATGGTTTATGGAACAGTACAGACAAAGTTCACTGAGCACCTCACTCTTTGCAAAGTTTTTTTTTGCTATTCCAAATCAGTCCAAAAACATACCATTAAAAATAAATCTTTAAAAAATTATCCAGCAGAAAGACAAAACTATATATACATTTAAAATTCAGTTTACAGATAATAATGCATTTGATACAGCACCTTATCACGTCGTTGAGACGTCTCAAAGCGCTTCTCAGGATATATTGTAAAGTGAATCGACTGTGTGTTTTATGGACTAAACACGGCAGCCAATTGCGCAGCGCATTGTCCCACAAACACACTAAAGCAACATCCGTGTCTGCCTGCGAAACACACAGTCGCTGCATTTTACTGGCAAAGCCTGCGATGATCTTTGAGACATCCTCCCAACGTGAAAGGCACCGATGCTGAAGGCGGAGATGCTGCTAATGATAATAATCCTTGCATTTGAAATAGTGTCTTATCACGTCTTCGAGACGTCTCAAAGCGCTTCAAGGATACGCTCTAAAGTGGATTTGACTGTATTTTGTGGGCAAAAAGTAAATTATTTTATTTTTACTGCTTATTATTTTTCTGTAATGAAATATTTTCGCCTGCCCCCATCGCTCCCCTCCCCGGTGCTGAGTGGCACCTCAAACAACCTAAAGGCACAGAGCCACCTACACTCCAGTTGTTTTGCCTGTGTTCTCTGTGTGTCTTCACAGAGCTTTACATCCCTGGAGTGCGTTGGTCATGGGTCAAGGAATCAAAAGTTAGAAATCACACTGTCTGTACAGCAGGTAATTGATGGCTAGAGCTACTATTCCTCGCTCCTCGCTCCCACGTCACACACACATGCACACACAACCCTCACAACAATAATAATAATCCTGGATTGAAAAAATAAAGCACAAAAGGTATTTTGTGCCAGAGAAATTGAACCCCCCCCCACCCCCAAATCGGTCACAATCAGTCATTAACATCACGGCTGTTTGTGCGGGGAAGCTGTTGTATGTAAATTATATATATTTCCCTCAAATATTGGGTCTAATTCTTGTTTGAAAGCTTAAAAATCACGGATTCTGCTTCCACCTGGTGTTTTTGGTCAGGCGTTCCACTTCCTAACAACCCTCTCGGCGTGTGTACAAACGAAATTCCTCTAAACTTTCCTCCTTCCTTAGTTACCAAACTGTGCTTTCCTGATACAAACCCGGGCTTCCCTGGTTAAGAGACCTTGTCGGCAACTCAGTCTACACGTCATAGACAGAGCAATGACTGCCCCAAAATCCTGTGTTTCTACTGCACTAAGTCATCCTTCCCGGCACAGCGACACAGCACCTAAAGCGCTCAGCCAGCGAGTCAGCCAGTCAACCAGCCAGACATCAGTCAGTCAGTCTGCCAGCCAGACATCAGTCAGTCTGCCAGCGAGCCAGCCATCAGTCAGTCAGTCAGTCTGCCAGCCAGCCAGTCAGTCAGCCAGCCAGCCAGACATCAGTCAGCCAGTCAACCAGCCAGACATCAGTCAGTCAGTCTGCCAGCCAGACATCAGTCAGTCAGCCAGTCAACCAGCCAGACATCAGTCAGTCAGCCAGTCAACCAGCCAGACATCAGTCAGTCAGTCTGCCAGCCAGCCATCAGTCAGTCAGCCAGTCAACCAGCCAGACATCAGTCAGTCTGCCAGCGAGCCAGCCATCAGTCAGTCAGTCAGTCTGCCAGCCAGACATCAGTCAGTCTGCCAGCCAGCCAGCCAGCCATCAGTCAGTCAGTCAGTCTGCCAGCCAGACATCAGTCAGTCTGCCAGCCAGCCAGTCAGTCAGCCAGCCAGCCAGACATCAGTCAGCCAGTCAACCAGCCAGACATCAGTCAGTCTGCCAGCGAGCCAGCCATCAGTCAGTCTGCCAGCCAGCCAGCCAGCGAGTCAGCCAGTCAACCAGCCAGACATCGTCAGCCAGTCAACCAGCCAGACATCAGTCAGTCAGCCAGTCAGACATCAGTCAGTCTGCCAGCGAGCCAGCCATCAGTCAGTCAGTCAGTCTGCCAGCCAGACATCAGTCAGTCAGCCAGTCAACCAGCCAGCCAGCCGGCCAGTCAGTCAGTCAGTCAGCCAGTCAGCCAGCCAGCCAGCCAGCCAGTCAGTCAGTCAGTCAGCCGGCCAGTCAGTCAGTCAGCCAGTCAGTCAGCCAGCCAGTCAGCCAGTCAGCCAGTCAGTCAGTCAGTCAGTCAGCCAGTCAGTCAGTCAGCCGGCCAGTCAGTCAGCCAGCCGGCCACTCAGCCAGCCGGCCACTCAGCCAGCCATCAGTCAGTCAGCCAGTCAGCCAGTCAGTCAGTCAGTCAGTCAGCCAGTCAGTCAGTCAGCCAGTCAGTCAGCCAGTCAGTCAGCCAGCCAGTCAGCCAGTCAGTCAGTCAGCCAGCCAGTCAGTCAGCCAGTCAGTCAGTCAGCCGGCCAGTCAGTCAGCCGGCCAGTCAGTCAGCCGGCCAGCAGCCAGCCGGCCAGTCAGTCAGCCAGCCGGCCACTCAGCCAGCCATCAGTCAGTCAGCCGGCCAGCCGGCCACTCAGCCAGCCATCAGTCAGCCAGCCGGCCACTCAGCCAGCCAGCCACTCAGCCAGCCATCAGTCAGTCAGCCGGTCAGTCGGCCAGTCAGCCAGCCATCAGTCAGTCAGCCGGCCAGCCGGCCAGTCAGTCAGCCATCAGTCAGTGTGAGATCCACAGTGGGGCTTGTCCCAACGCCCCAGCATTGGTACTGCACCGAGACAACTCAACACAGCGTCTGTCTCGGCAGTTAAACCCAGCAGTAAAATGTGGATATTTCAGAGTCCTGTACCTTCATGGTTACACCACCCGATTCACAAGCGAGAGGACCCGGGTTCAATTCCCGGGCGGTCAGAGCGAAACCTAAGCAACCTTTCTAACTTCACACTTGCCTCTGTTTACTATCAGAATGTAAGTAAGGAACACGGATGTTATTTGATTGTTGGATCGCTTTCCGGGAGTAATAATCCCTCCAAAAAAAATAATTTGGTGACTCAATCCATGACTGTTTGTGGAACACTGTGTTGGGCACAACTGGCTGCCCACAAAATACAGTCACTCCACTTTACAATGTATTCTGTGAAGCGCTGTGAGACGTCTGAACGACATGATAAGGCGCTGTAACAAGTGCAACAATTAATATTAAATGGTCGGGGTTATCCTGCTCGAAATGGCACCCTGCCCACCCCCGCCCCCAGCCCCCCGCCCCCACACAGACGTGTCAGCCTTCCTCAGCAGGTTGTTAATCTGCCTTTACCTAAACAGTAATCAGACTCCTTAATGACTGGTCACAAACAGTTTTTGTTCTTAGGTCAGAGCTCCCCCTCCCCATTCCCCGCAGTTCATCCTGTGTGCCCCCACCACCAGAGCCCCCGGCAGCAGAAAGAAAAAAACCTCATGAATAAAAAAGGGAAGAGTTTAATTGTCCAGCCGGTGATTGATGGGAACTGATTTTTGGTCCCAGCATTTAGTAAATAGGACAGACAGCAGGTTGCACTCAGGGCAGAGTCAGCTGAACCTTGCTTTTCACCAGTTCAGAAGCAGAGCGATAATAATAAATAATAAGCCATCAAGCAGCAGTGGCGGAGCGGAGCACGACACCTAGCCGGGGGGGAAGGGGAGGTGACCGCAGGCACTGTCGAAGAGGAAGGTGGACCGAGGGCATGAGGGACATAATCAAGAGTTTCTTGTAATTGTTTGGGGTCAGCACCCATCATGATGCTTAAGAGTTCCACCCATGGAAAACTCAGAGATAGATTGTTGGAACGGAATGGTCTCTCTCTCTCGCTCTCTCTGGAGGAACATATCTTGCTTACCTAATTCAGGAAGTATTAGGTGCAAGAGCCAAGGCTTAGGGAGATGTGTGTTGGGGGTAACTGCTGGAGCCTAACCAGCTAAAACTACATAGCTTGGCCATTGATATCTCTGCCTGACAATCTTTACCGCTGCTTGTCTAGCCTGGACCACCCTACGCATAGGGGTTTGGCTGAGGGTTAACAGGAGCTGAGTGGGAGGATTC